ATTTTACAATAAATAGTAGGCAAGGGAAACTAATATTCATAAGGCAGTCAAGGATTTTAGTATTATTTACCCTCTTCAAGCTATACCTAGATCCCTGTGTCCCAGAGCCCTGTTGTTTCAAGGTTGAATATGCATCACTATTTATCTCTGTCCCACCATTCCATTATCTTTTAATTCCATTTTCTACAAGCTTCTTTGGAAACCCCCTCCGTTCAGGCCTTTGACATTAAAGAGAATGTCATTGCACTGCCAATAAGTATCCAGTAGGGAGCACAGCGAAATAAGCAAACTCATTTTAAAATCAAATTCTTATACTGCATATAAAGGGAGCACCATGGCTCTGTAGGATAACCACTGGACTGAGAACCAAAAAGTTAGTGGTTTGGACTCATAAACCACTCCTAGGGAGAAAATGTGGCTTTCCCTGCCTGCAAAGATTTATACCCTCAGAAATCCTATACAGGGTTGCTATGAGTTAAAACCAACTCCCTGGCACTAACAAAAATATTGTATATAAAAGGAGCCCTGGTGGCACTGTAGGATAAGCACTGGACTGCTAACCAAAAGGTCAGCAGTTCAAACCCACCATAAGCTCTGCAGGAGAAAGATGAGGCTTTCTGCTACTGTAAAGATTTACAACATTAGAAACCTTATTCAGGGTCTCAATTGACTTGCAATCAATTCGATGGTACCATTTGTTACTTTTGGCACTGGGTTTGTGGGGGGGTTTTGGTATTGCATATAAAACATATTACTAAATTTGCTAAGTAATTACATTACTTAGATAACTACTACTCATACTCTGTCAAGAGGAACTACTTTTTCTCCCAATCCATTCTGGATGAACACTTTTATAAAATAAAATGAAAATGTGGCAAAGTCAAATTTTATAGCAATAAAACTTTCTAATGTCTTACTCATTTTCTGACTTGATTAAAACAGAAACAAACTGTTTGAAGACAGACATTGGGCAATTATACCTTGAGTACCACTGAGTCACACCACAAGTAAAATGAAAATTTCAAAAACTTTTAAAAGTAGCTAGCTGTACATCATTTAGATTAAAATAAATAAATAAATAAATATATACTTACCTTGGGAAAATATTTGTATAGTCCCATGTATGCAAGTTGCAAAGTAAGAAATGGAGCAAATATGGACTGTGAAGAAAGAAGACAAAAATTACATTATTTCCAACATAATCATTCAAATCACAACACATTAAACTAACAACAAATTCCAAGCAAAAGCTATAATTCAAATATTTAATTTTAGTGATTGAAGGTAATCTTGTCTCTGCAGAAGGAGACGGAATACTACAGAGATTTGAGTTTATAATCAAAAACATGTTTCTCATCATACAAGTGCTTCACATGCTTTTAATGTCCTCCTCAAAGCTTTATCTCCTAAAAATTTGTCTATTAAATTACCTAGAGTATTGAATGGGTAGATGTGTAACATATCAGGCAGTGCCAGCTCCCTCATCTAGAGCAAGTAAACTGAGAAGTTGTAAGCACACATAAGAGGCCCTAGCTTTCAAAATCAAAGTCAAACATTCCTAACTCACATTTCTGGCTGTCAAGAATGAGCTATTCTTATTATAAATGAAATAGTTTGGTTCTATGGCTTCTCATAAACAAGATAAAGCTAATATTTAATATACATAATTACTTCTAAAATTAAAACTACAAGGGGACTTGAAAAAAGTTGATGGACAAAATGGAAGTGAAAGGTAACTGAATTATGAAGTTAAGGAGAAAATGCTATTAGACAAAAATATAGTGAAAGCAGGGAGAAATAAGTTGAAAATATGATAGCGGGGGAAAAAAATCCCTACAAAAATGATTATAAAAAACATAACTTTTAAAGCAAGAAAACACAAAGCCTCTTAGTAAAAAGACAAAAAACAAACACATCTGTCAATAAGTGTTGAAACTATCACTCAATGCTCTTTGCAATGATGGTCATTTACCAATAGGAAAAAAAAAAAAAAAAATCAAATCTGTTCAACAGATCCTGTTTTTAAAAATATTTACATACACATCGATTGTGAAAACCTTTTTTTGGCTTAATGATAGAAACCCTAATGATATAGAAAACATATTTATGCACCTGGTACATGGTTGGCATTCTGAAATATCTATTGCATAGAAATATCTCAAGGAGCAAGACACTTAAATTATGAACTCTGCTTTTGTTCATTCCTCCAAATACTGTAAAATACAAGAACCATTCAATCCCAATATTCAATGAAGAGCAACTAGCACAGCACAGAACAATGAAAACTGCCTCCACAATACTATCCCAACCCAAATCAAAACCCAGTCATGTGACTCATAGCAGCCCTACAGGGCAGAGAATTGCCCTCTAGTGTTTCCAAAGAGGTACATTTTTTTGTTTTCAACTGTGCTTTAGATGAAAAATTTGCAGAAAAAGTTAGTCTCTCATTCAATAGTTTGTACATAAAATATTACATGACATTGGTGGTTACGTTTCTCACAATGTTATCAGCACTCTTCCCCATTTCTTCCCTGGGTTCCCCATTTAATTTCATAAGAAATTTCTACCCTTTCATGTCCTCATCTTTGCTTTGGGCAAATGTTGTCCTGCTTTGGGTATAAATGATTGTTCTTCTCAGGTGTTATTATTTCATTTAGGTAAAAGGTCTCCTGAACTAGAGTGGAGAGTGAAGCGTCCAGCAGATAAGAAGTGAGGGCATATGCACAAGAACACCCACACTTGCAAATAATACCCACTTGACCTGGTTTCAATGGCAGGATGATCAGCATTCAACTAGAAGAAGAAAGAAGAGGGAATAAACAGTAATCTGATACCATTTGATGAACTTGACCTACACCTATGGATGCACTAGCTCAAAAGAGGGAACAAATCTTTACAGCAAGGATCATTCCCACCCAAATATACAGGGTAGACAGGGATGCGCAACTTGGACATTGGCTACCCAAAATGGGGGTGCTACAAAGGCAAGAAGTGACTGGCTTACAAGCTTTCAAGAGGGAGCCTAGATCCAGAGGATGTCAAGGAAGGCAGAATCTCCATGGGGTAGTATCCTATCCAATCTGTCCGGGCAGGGCTGATGAAAGATGGGGATAGCTCTCATGCAGCCCAACAGTCAATAATTGCTATCAGGACTGACTGGAAATATAAAGGTAGACATTTTGTAGCAAAAGCAGGGGAGTGGTTGACTTTGCAGTCCAGGAGCAGAGGACCCTGGGACCATCAAGGGAGAAGAGCGGAGTGTGGAACCATACCCAGAGAAACAGTGACGCCAGGGATGGAGGCAGAGATGATAACTTGGAGAGATGGAGCGGCTGGGAACTCTAGACCCAGAAAGGGAGAGGGGCTGTGTGCTGATAACCAGGAGGTGGGGGACCTTGCAGGGGATACCCTTGTTCGGTTGATGATGCATGGGCGGGAATTGTAACCATGGCAATGGAACAATATATGATAGGATAAAATGTAAAGCTAACGTTCTCCCATGTAAACTATCACATAATTCGCAATAAAACATTTTTTAAAAAAAGGTCTCCTGAAATAAAGGCTGTGAAATTATCACAGAAACAGACTGCCCACATGTTTCTCCTGCAGAGTGTCTGGCGGATTCAAATTGCTTCCTTTTTGGTGAGCAGCTGTGACTTCAAACAGTACACCACCAGGGAGCCTCTATAATACCACAGCAGTATAAAATGCTAAATTGCATTCGGATGTACAGAAAAATTTGGCATGGTCAGGATGGTGGGAACTATATTTTAATGTTCTGAATTATTTAAAATCTGGTAATTCATGTACATGTTACTGCAGGATGATAAGCACTGGCGAGCTTATCATACAGCAGTTCAAACCCACCAGCTGCTCCTCAGGAGAAAGATGAGGCTTTCTGCTGACATATATATTTGCAACCTCAGAAACTTTATATAAGGTCACTATGAGTTGGAATAGACTCAGTGGCAGTGGGTTTGGTTTTGGGTTTTTATTTACCCTTTAGTTCTATAATGAAAATGCCTGGGTATAGTCCCCGCTGCCACTTAGTAGCTGTGTGACCTTAAGCCAAATCATTTAACATCTGAGTCTCCATTCCCTAATGTATAAAGCATCTATTCCAATGATACGTACTTCAGAAGGATGAGGATTCAATGCATTCACACATATTAAATTCTTAGAACGGTACAAAGAATTCGGTCATTATTATTAGGCTCCAGCACTCCTCTGTCAGTTTGTTGTACTGTGGCGGCTTGCGTGTTGCTGTGATGCTGGAAACTATGACACCAGTATTTTAAAAACCAGCAAGGTCACCCATGGTGGACAGGTTTTAGCAGAGCTTCCAGACTAAGACAAGAAGAAGGACAAGTGGAATCTTCTGAATGTTTAGCCAATGAAAATCTCATCAATAGTACGGGAACATTCTCAGATATAGTGCTGGAAGATAAAAACACTATGAATAGCACCAGAATATTGTCAGCTATAGGGCTAGAGTTTAGACCCTAAGGTTGGAAGGCATTCAAAATACGACTGGGGAAGAGATGCCTCTGCAAAGTACATTCGACCTTGATGACAAGAGTGGAGTAAAGCCTTCAGGACCTTCATTTGCTGATGGGGCACAACTCAAATGGAAGAAGCAGCACTGTAAACATACATTAATATTTGAAACATGAAATGTATGAAGTATGAATCTAAGAAAATTAGAATTTGTCAAAAATTAAATAGAACACATGAAGATCTAGGTAATACCTAAAATGGACTGGCATTGGCCACTGTCAATCTGACAATCATATGGTTTACTATGATAACAACGATAAATTCAAGAGGAATGGCATTATATACATTATTAAAAGGAACACCCAAGATCTATCTTGAAGCACAATTCTGTGATAGGATAATATCCATATACCTATAAGGAATACCAATTAATACCACTATTATTCAAATGTATACAACAACCACCAAAGCTAGTGATGAGGAAATTGAAGACTTTTACTAACTTCTTCAGTCTGAAATTAATCAAACATGCAATCAAGATGTACTGGTAAATCCTAAACCTACGGACAAGGACAGAGAGCTAGAGGTGACAGTGAAGCATCCAGCTGATATGAAGTGAAGGGAGACACACAAGAATGCCCAAACTTGCAGATAGTACCCATTTGACCTAGCCTTGATGGCTTGATAATCAGAACTCGACTAGAGGAAGACAAAAAAAATTTTTTTCGGATAAAGGAAACAAGTGTAAATTGCTACAATTTCATGAACCTAATCTATACTTATGGATGTAGTAGCTCAAAATACCAACTGAGCAGGAAGGAGTCTTCACATCAAGTATCAATTTTTCAATGCTATCCCCTCTGTACACAGGGCAGATAGGGATGGGCAACTTACACAGGAATCAAATTGACTATATCTGTGGAAAGAGATGGTGGAAAAGCTCAATAACACCAGCCAAAACAAGGCCAGGGACAGGCTGCAACAGCCCATCAGTTGCTTACATGCAAGTTCAGGCTGAAGCTAAAGAAAATGAAAACAATTCCACAAGAGTCAAATTATGATCTTGAGCATATCCCACCCAAATTTACAAACCAGCTCAAGAATAGATTTCATGCACTAGACACTAATGACAAATGCCCAAAAGAGCTGTGCAATGACAAAAAACATCATATAGGAAGAGAAAACAAAAGGTCATTAAAAAGACAGAAAAGATCAAAATGGATATCAGAAGAGACTCTGAAACTTGATCTCCAGTGTAGCAATGTTAAGTGAATGGAAGAAATGGACATAAAAAAGCTAAACAGAAAATTTCAAAGGGCAGCTTAAGAAGACAGTCAAGTATTACAATGAAATGTGCACAAGTCTGGAGTCAGAAAACAAAAAGGGAAGAACATGCTCAGCATTTCTGATGCAGAAAAAAAAGAAAGAAAAAATTCAATCAACAACTCTAAATATTGAAGGATTCTATGGGAG